CTTTCCTTCAGGGTTAGTAGGTGCAGGACAATCCCTCCCCCACACCTGTACTAACTTAGTTCCCTCTGTTCCTCAATAGTCTGGCTTATTCCCCTACACTCTGACACTGTGCTCCTTGCTACTGTCATAGTCCAAGGAAAACTTCAATTTTGTGGCACTGGGAGGAGTGGGGGGATGGAGGGACTGGGGTAGAGGGTTCATTCCATTTCTGATTCATTCTTCAAAAGCTCTAATTTCTTTTCTAATTTTTCTAGAAGCATTCATCTTACTAAAAAAAAATTTCAACTCCTTTTTAAAAACTCTTGCTTCATCTCTTCTCAGAATTCTAATTGAATTTGTGCCTAAATGTGATTTTTCTTCAAGGCTTTGTAGATTTTTTTTGAGTCACTGTCTTCTTTTGTATTTGTGTCTTGAGCATCCCTATCACCGTAATAACTTTTTATGGTGAGATTCTTTTTTGTTTTTGTTTGCTAGTTCTTTCAGCCTACTTTTTAACATTATGTTAGAGCCAGGCTCTGTACTTCTGAAGGGAAGATCTGGGTTGATCCTGTTGCCTTTTTCTTGGGATATTGAATGTTTTGTTATTCAAGAGCTGTTCAGACTGTGGATATGCAAGACTTCAGTGCTCCAAACATGGTCTGGTCTGGGCAAAATCTGATCACTGTCCTCCTGGTTAGAAATCTGCAAGTTTCTGACCTAGGTTTGGAGCTAAGCAACAGTAGACTGCTTCTGGACTCAGCTGGAAAACTCTGTTGGCTCCAAGGATAGAACTATAAACTTCCCTTTGATCTGTGATTCTTGCCCCAGTCATTCCTTTGCAGGCTTCAGATTGGGTCAGAAGCTGGAACTGAGATCCTGCTCTACTCCTGAGGTCAGATCCACACGTTTTCTGTTCACCTCTGCACTTGGTCTTTGCTTGGTGTACAGGTTAGGGAGGGTCTGCTACCATTCCTCACCCCTTGTCTTGGTGCCTTCCTCAGTCCAACTTGGATCTGTAACCCAGAAATAGGTAGTAAGTGACAAAGCTGCCAGTTGGCACCTGTTCTTATACTCTGCATGAGGTTGTGGCTCAGGATGAGTCTGGACCATTGTCTTGCCCTGTTTCTGGGCATTGGGATGATTCATTTTGCATGGTCCTGGCCAGACCCTGTTCCCCAATATTCACACACCTTTCTATTTCTCTCTCTCTGTCTAGACCTGGGTTGGACAAATGATTCACTATGATTTTTTTTTCTTGAATTTCCCAATCACAATTTGGTCTGGTGTGTTTTCTTTATCTACCTGAAGTAGTCTGGCCAGGAGAGAGGAGGAAGCTCATGCTATTTCTTGCCCCACTCACATCTTGGCATTGTTACAACCTTTTAGTTTAAGTAACAATTGTTTTTGCTGTCCTCTTTTCTAAGAGGTTTTCCTTTGTTCTGTCTTTTTCTTTATTTCTCTTTCCTTCTAGTCTATTCTGAATTCTATTTTTTACTTGAGGGCCTATGCCTTTACTTATTACTATTTCAATCTCTTGATGTCCCTCATAAATTAAAAGGTTTTGGACTGCCAAATTTAACCTCCTCCTCTAGCCCATTCCTAAATTATTGAGTTTGTAAATCTTACTCCATTTTACCTCTATTGCACTGTTCTTTTTTTTCTTCTGAGCCTGGCTTAGAGAAATATCAGTTCACAAAAGAAACAACGTTAAACAGAAATAGTGATGCATGGTGGGAGCTGACAGTCCGAACCCCTGCCCTTATTGTCATCTTTAACCTTAGTTTAGACCTGATTATTTTCTACTTGTACTCTTGTGACATTCTTCTCAATGATATCTCTGCTTCAAGTTTCCCTCCTTTCCAAACTGACTTTTCCTAAAGCAAAAATATGATCATGCCACTCCCCTACTCAATATGTATGTTTCCCTATTGCCTCTGGACAAAATATAGACTTCACATATAGGTTTTTAAAATCCTGCACTACCTGCACAGCCTTTTGCTTCTCTGTCTCTCCCTATCTCCCTTTCACTCTGTTGTTCTCTCTCTTTCTATATATATAGCTACAAAATAAATATTCATATATATATACATATATATTTACACACACACACACACACACACACACACACACACACACACACATATATTCCATCCAAACTGGACTTCTCTCTGCTCCTCAAACACAGCCTTCCTTTTCACTGTTCATCCCCCATGAGCAGAATGTACTCCTTTACTTCTGTCTCACAGAATCCCTAACTTCCTTCAAGATACAGCTCAAGTACCACCTTCTACCTGAAGTCCCCCTCCCCTTTGGGGGCTATCTCAGTTAAGAAGAACAGACTGTAAAACAAACTCTTAGAGCTTGGAGGCAGTATGCCATAGTGGTTATGGCACTGGGCTTGGAGTCAGGATGTGGCTGTTGTTCAGGCATTCAGTTGTTTCTGACTCTTTATGACCCCGTCCGCCATATTGTCCGTGCGGTTTTCCTGGCAAGGATACTGGAGTAGCTTGCCATTTACTTCTCCAGTGGCTTAAGGCAAACAGAGGTTGAGTGACTTGCCCAGGGTCACACAGCTAGTAAGTGTCTGAGGCCAGATTTGGCCTAAGGTCTTCCTGATTCCAGGCCCAGCACTCCTAGGTTCAAATCCCATCTCACACAGTTATTAGTTATAGGGCACTAAGCAAGTAATTTATGCTCTCTGGGCCTTCATCTGGTTTCTTTCTCAGTAAAATGGAGGGGTGGACTCAATAGCTTCTAATGTTCCTTCTGGCTCTAAATTTTTGATCCTATGACCTTAGAGGTCAAGGAGTCCAGCACCCTCATTGAACAGCAGGCTTGCACCCAAGTCATTTGAGTCAAAGTATAAGGCTCTCTCCACTCTAATGCTCTACACCACAGTCAATAATGCTACTCCAATTTGGGAAGAAAACTTTTTTTTCCATTTAAAAATTCACTTGAATGTACACTTTGTTTAAACTTGAGGGATCACTGCTGAGTCACCGTGGCCACTCTCTGCTCTTTTTCCAGGCATCTTTTTTGATCTGTTCAGCACTGGTGGAGCCTACTCCAAGGTCAGGGGTTAGGTTCCCTATTCCTGTACTCATACTCTTCAGTTCCTTAAACTCCTCCTACCTGAGCCATTTAGGAAGAATTTTGCTTATTGGTTCATGTTCAAGACCTTTCCAAAAAATGAAGAGAAGGAAAAGGTGTGCACTGTACAATGTGAATCAGATGTGGGACTGATATTTTATTCCTACGTAGGCAAGAGATGCTAAAGATTCACAAGTGTCCACTCACAGAAGAAGATTAATTTACACATTTTAATTAGTTACAATCTTTGGGGGTAGGGAGGGTAGTCTGATACTTAAACCTTGTCAGAACATAAATCAGCTTGCAGGATTGCTAATTAGGTGCCTTATATTTCACCTTAGCTCTGCACTGTCCAAACAACTCCTAGCACCTATCTGTGAGCAAAACTGTTAGACTTGGGCTAGTTCTCATGTTAGTGGCTTTCCTCTCAGGAGTTCTACACTGATTGCTGAGGATTCCTCCTACGCTGTCATTCGGTTCTGAACTGTGAGATCCAGGACCTCTGGACCTCTCCAATTCACAAGGTCACCTCTAATCCTAGATGCGTACTTGTTCAGATAGGTACACAGCTGCCCGAGAGCAAGAAAAAATAGACACTGAAGAGACAGAACAAGCCGAGGCTCAGGTTTGCTTGGGCCAGACCTGCCATTCATTTACATGCCAGGTGTGAATGGGTCGGATGCCCCTCCTCCACCCTACTCTTGGGAAGCTGCTCAAAGCAAACTTGGACAATTGGAAACCAGAAAGGAAGAAAGAGGGTAAGGAGCAGGTGGCCCCCTTTTGTACATTAACTGAGTCACTAGGCCCACCACCAAGAAGGGAACTGCTTTTTTATCTAGAATTACAGTCTTCTCAGCAATGAGGCAGACATGACCAGAAGAAAACTCTCCCAAAAGCTTTCACATGGTAACCCCAAATGAAGAATAGTGACTGAGCATGCTCCCTGGGGTGGTCCTCCACCAAACCTGAAAAATAGTCTACACTAGCCTACTGCAGATTTCTACACCCTGGGACTTCCTTTCCTCAGTCCTGCTTCCGGTCTCTTTCCTTCATTTGTCTCCTCCTCTCTGAAACTGTATACCTTTCAGTGGGAGTCAGAAGCTGATCTGCCCTTTTTCTGATGATTTTTGAAAATTCCTGTATACAGCATAGACAGCTCAGTGATAATTTGGACTAATGAAGTGTTGGGCTCTTTAATGGATATACGGGGTTCAAATGGTCAGAGGATCTGGAGCCAAAAGGGACATTAAAAACCATTTAGTCAGACCTCTTAGAAACTAAGGGGCAAGTAGGTAACACAGTGCCAAGGACTCTTCTTGAGTTCAAATCTGGCCTTAGACACTCACTAGCTGTGTGACCCTGGGAAAGTCACTTAACTCTGTTTGCCTCAGTTTCCTTATCTGTCCAATGAGCTGGAGAAGGAAATGACAAAACCACTCTTATTATCTTTACCAAAAAAACCCCAAATGGGGTAATGAAGAGGGTTCTTCTTATAAAGAGAGGCTATGTCTTGCCCAAAGTTATGGAAGTAGTAAATAACAGAGCCAGGATTATCGCTGGAACCTTAGGACCTAGAACAGTACTTTGTGCTTAGGCCCTTAATATTTTTTATTCCTTTTGATTTTGAGTAGGGTTGAAGCCCTGTTTCTCCAACTCCAAACTCTCCCTGTGAGTAGCTACTGACTCATAGGATCATAGGATAACCTTTGTGATCCTAGAATTGTGTATTCCACCTCCTACAACTCCCAGATAACTGACCAGGATACAGCAAGAACATTCTCTTCAGAAAACATGATGGTCCCAAATAGACCCAATTCTGGTGGAAGCCAAAGCTTGCTTTATCTACTCTTTACCACTAGATGGCAGGCGCTATCTTTGTTTAACTGGAAAAATAAAGTTAAATTAAAAGGGTGGAAGGAGATAGAGGGGGAAATAAAGAAAGAATTCTTCTTCCCAAGAAAAATTTTAAAAACCCACCCCATTTATTTTCGATCTGAGACAAAGAACTATCAGGAGTTAGAGTCTCCAATAGCAAAACTCAGAGACCTTTTTGCTTTCTGAACTCTTAACCATCCAAAGTCATGAGAAGTCCCTTTAAAAAAAAAAGTGAAATACAGTATTGTGAATCTTGAAATCTGAAACCGAGAAACAGAATTGCAGGGGAAAGAAGAAGGAAAACCTTGAACTCTTCCAGACAATTGCTTCCAGGGGAGTTTCAGAAAGAAAAAAGAAGAAGCAAAAAGCAGAGGGGAACTTTGAATGGCTTATTTGTGAGGAGATTCCAGGAACTTTCTGAAGACAATTCTTTCCCCTTTTCTGGATATAATGGCTATTGTGGAGCAAAGAACCCTTAGGATTGGCTTCAAGTGTCTCTCTTTAGCTACTTTTGTGCTTGCTTGTGCTGGACAAGGTGGAAATAGGGAGAATGGGGGTCCTGCCTGCTATGGAGGATTTGACCTATACTTCATTTTAGACAAGTAAGTGCCTTTGGTTGTTTGGCTTGCAAAAGACTTGTTATGTGACCCATTTTCAGGGTACAGGCTAAGAGCACCCTGCACTCTGGAAAACACTCCTACTTTTGGTTTATTTTTTGGGCAGTTGGTAATGAGTCCAAAAGTTTGGGACCTGAAAGAGTCTCAAACATGGGCTGAGTCCTGATGGGTACCTTAGCATCCTTTGCAAAGTCAGGCTAAATGTGGCTGTTGCTGGCTCCAGGGGAATTGCCTGGACCTTCTGTTGTAAGCTTTTGTTAGGACTTCTCCAGTTCTGGGTCTGCTGTTCAGCTTCCAACCCTGCCTTAGAGTCTGCAAAGGGGAAAACTCTCTGATTTCTAAGCATCCTTCTCTCCCAATTGCTGATCCTCATTCCCTCAGAAAGGATGATTCTCTCCAGTAACTGAGGGGTTTTCAAGGGCCACCTTTAAACACTGCTGTGCTAGAAGGATCAGTTGTATTTCTCCCTGTTTCCATTCACATGCTCAGGGTGAGACACTTGTTGATAATGACAGCTCTGCTATTTCAAGAATTGTAAATGTTGTTAATATCTCTACTCTACTGTTCACTACCTGTGCAATCTTGGAAAAATCCCTTCCTCTCCTTCCACCTCAGTTTCCTTGGCTATAAAATGAACAAATTGTACTAGATGAGCTTTAAATTCCCCTGCAAGTCTACATTCTGTAAAATAAAGACATCCTGAAGGGCTGAATTGATTTTTCGTATCAGTTATGATTAATTTTTTTTAGAGATGAAAAAGAACTTTAGAAATCTTTTAATCCAACCCATCTTATTGTCCTAGGAGATAGTGAAACATAAAGAATTTTGAAAGGGAAGAGGAAAGAAGGAATTATAGAAATCATTTATTAAGATCCTACTATGTGGCATGTACTTTATTAATATCTCATTTATTGGAAATGGGGAGGGAATAAGCATCTACCATGTGCCAAGCACTGTACTAAATGCTTTACAAATGTTATCTTATTTGATCTTCACAATAAGTCTTGGGAGATAGGTGCTATAATTATCATCCCCATTTTACAGTTGAGAAAACTGAGGCAGATAGAATTTAAGTGACAGTTAATGAGTATTGGAGGTTCCATTTGAACTCAGGTCTTCTTGATTCCTGGCCCACTACAACACCTAGCTGCTACCTAAGTCAGATGCTGTAGGATTTGAGGTGGTTAGAAGCAGAAGGAGAATCATCAGATAAAAGATTTAGAGGAGAGAATATACCTCAGAGACTGTCTTACTCAACCTCCTCATCTTAAAAATGAGAAAACTGAAGCAGAGTGAGGGAAAGTTACTTACTCAAACTGGCACTCTACTGCTAGTAAGTAACAGAGCAAAGCTTCAAATCTAGCCTCTGGCTGCCCATTCAGAGCTCCTCTCATAATATGCTACCTTTGTCTCCAGTAATGTGATGCACATTTAACAGAGAGAAGGTACTGAAGATAAAGGAGCTGTGTATATGTTTGCTTTTTAACTAACATGAGGCCATAGTTGGGGCAGAGGGTCCCATGAGGAAGTCTTGATTTCATGACTAATATGAACGTCTTGGGGATTTAACTCCAACAAAGTAGAAAGTCCAAACAATTAAACATTTCGCTAACTTTAACTCATGGCAAAGCCTCAAGTCATTTCAAGAAAGTGTTGGAATATCTGCTAACAACAATGAAGAAAAAAGGAGCTCTCATAAGGAAGCCTAAACTCATTGGAAGATCTATCCATTTGCTAATTATCAGGCAAGCCACTTGCCATCACTATGGCAGTGAAATGAATTTTACAGGCTGGAAAGTATTTGGAAGCTTGGAAACATTTTTTAAAGAGCCCTGAAAATATAAACTGGCCAACTGTACCCCAAAAGGGCTTTTCAATAGTCCCGGATACATATAGACATATGAATATATATGTATGTGTGTATACATCCATCCATCCACACATACATGTGTGTTTGGGGTTAGGGTGTGTGGTTTTTTCTTTCTTCCATAAAAAATGTTTTGAACTTTGGATAGTCCAACTGAAAAGTGAGAGCTCTCTCTGGAAGATTTATGAGAGGCTAAATCCTGAAAACATGCTCTTCTACTGAGAAATGGAATTTCTTTTGTTCCTTCCAGCCACAGAGAGCACCAGCTTGCAAATTCCATTGGCTATACCTCAAAGCCCTTCCCTGGGTTCTCGTCCTTCACAAAACCTAGCTGGGGCTCAGGGCTGCTCCTTTCTTTGTGTCCTAAATTCTGAAGTTTCCATTCCAGAGGGAGATGTCCTGTTCACATTTGACTCACACTGACATTTGAACAGGATGAGTGATCCAGAGAGATGCATTAGGTCCTAAACTCAGCAAGCAAAAGTAACAGAAACATGGTATGGGAAAAAAAGAATGCTGGATTTGGAATCAGAAAGACCCAAGTTCAAATCTCAGCTTTGCTTCTCACAATCCGTATGAGTTCTCTCTCCCCTGTTTGTCTCAGTTTCTACCACTATAAAATATATTTCAATATACAGAAATAATATTAATATTATTAAATATTAATGATAGCTGGCATTTCTATAATACTTTAAAGTTTACCAAGCACTTCCTATATTATCTTATTTGATCCTCACAATAACCCCATAAGGTAGGTGCTATTATTTTACTAATGTTTTATAGTTGAAGAAACTGAGGCTCAAAGAATTGGAAATGACTTACCCACGATCACACAATCTGGGGCAGGATTTGAATGCAGGTCTTCCTGTCTCCAAATCTAGTGCCCTATCCAGCAAACAACTTTCTTAAAGATGGCACCTCAAGAAAGGACCCCCAAAGTATGTTATTTCTATAGTTCTAAGACTAGAGGAGGTAGGAAATTCGATTCTGCACAAATATGTGCCCTTAAAGTCACCACAACTTGATTTTTTTCCTCTTGGATAATACATCAAACAAAGGGAGGGCAGTTTTGATGGTATGTACCACACGCCCAGAACCAAAACTTAGGATTTTAAGATCTAGGTCTGGAAAGGCTCCTAAAAGAGTATCTAGTCAACAGGTGACAAACTTGTACACCCAAAACTCCTAAGGGTGGCCTAAAGCAGATTAGAATGGAATTGAGGAATATTTAGCAAAGCAAATACAACAACGACAATATTAATTTATGGTTTCCTAAGTCAGTATGAAGCCTGCAGAGATCTGCTTCTATTTGAGTTTGACACCATTATCTAGTCCAACACCTTCTCCCCATTTTACAGATGACATAGCTGAGACTGAAAAAGGTTAAATTGCTTACTCAAAGTGACGTGAGTAGTAAGGAAGAGAACCAGGTCTTGAATTTGTCCTTCTGTCTCCAAATGAATCTCTCTTCTGACTATGCACATTGTTTCAATTCAACTTGGCTTAGCTAATCCTTTGCGTGTGGCTCCTTCTTGCCCATCTGGATTGTAACTCTGTTCATAAATTTTATGTGCTTTGGCCAGAGGGTGAGTTGGGTCAAAGAGCCAAGAGATACAGACTGGTGCAGTGGAAAGTTTGCTGAACTTGGAATCAGAGATATGGGTTCAGATCCCAAATCTGATGCTTACTATCCAGGGGACCTTGGGCAAGTCATGGCAAATCTCTCTCAGCCTCAATTTCCTTGTCCATAAAATGGAAAGAAGAATACTTTCACCGCTTGTATAGCATGAGTTTTTGTTAGGGAAGTGCTCCATAGACCTTAAAGCACTTTTTAAAAAAATTCCAGACCTATGATTTCATTGTTATGGGAAATTTCCAGTTAGGAAAATCTCTCCATCAGTATAGACAGATAAGCAATTCTCAGAGAGCTGCATGGGCACTGAAGAGTTAAGTGACTTATCCACAGTCACACAGGTAGTATGAGAGGGACCACTAGAGCCCAGGTTTTCCAAAGTTAACCTTATGTCTCATATTTCTTTAAATATGACTTCTTACTAAGTGGCTGTAGAAAGTCTAGGAATGGGTTCACTGGCCTATCTCTTCTGTCCTGTAATGATTCTTAAGAAATGATTTACTGGTGGGGAGTTGCTGCTGTTATGTACCCAACAAGATGGCTGTAGGAATCCCCATGATTCATTACCTTGGGGCTCCCCAAAGCCACCCATTGCTTCTTCTAGCTTGCAAGAGCAATACTCCCAAATTAAGACCAATTGATCACAATTAAATATCCTTTCACCCACCACTTCTACTACCTTCCTTCCTGGGACTGATTTTCTCATCATTTTGACAAGATGAAAGCTTCAGTTCATTTTTATTCTCAAGAAAGATGCCACTCTGTCTTGGTGGGAACCCTGTGTATATATATTTAGTGGAACATCATGTTTGTTCAACTGGGAGCAAATATTTCTTAATGATAACCTAGAAGACCACAGTAACACAATAGGGCATTATTAGTAGCTCTGAAGACTAGACTGATAGCTTGGCCTGCACAGTGCTTTAGTGATGGAATTTCGTGTTCATTTAAACACACTTTTCTGGTTATGGTCAAAAGAAACCATAGTGCTGGGAATTCAATCAGGCCTTCCCTCCTTCCCCTTATGAAATTTGGAATGCCACTAACCAGAGGAAAAACTTCCTAACACTTAGAGTTGCCCCAAAGAGCAATGGGCTATCCTCAGAGGTAGAGAATCCTTTATTAATGGAGGTCCACAAATGAAGACTGGATGACTTGTTGTAGGGGGAATATTAGAGAGAATACCTGTTCAGATCCACGTTGGCCTAGATGACCCCCTGAGATCTTTTTTAACTCTAAAAATCAGTGATTCTATGATCCTAAAGATAAATGATATGTATGCATCTAACCTCCTTTCAATCACAGTTGAAAACATCTCCCATGGAAAGCCTTCTTGGAGTGGTGTAACCTATTCTCCAGCCTACCAACAAAATCCCTGATCCATCTTTTCTCTTTGGCAGATCTTTATAATTATGTTTCTTTCCATTTCACATTGGCCCAACTTGTCAAAGATTGCCAATTTCTTTAGAGAATGGAACATGTGCA